TTGGATTGCTGCCAAGGCCTGGACTGTGTTGGATTGCTGCCAAGGCCTGGACTGTGCTGGCTTGCTGCCCAGGTCCTGTCTATGTGTCAATAAATCCTTGCAGTATCTTTGTCTCTGCGTGCTTTGGTGTAGGACGAGGGGGGTCAGAACTGCTAACTATTAATGCAAAAATGGCTCCAGGCCTATGGCACAAGAAGAATGTGATGGCAACAAGTCCTTGAGGGACTACAACTAGGGATTTTAGTCTTGAATAACAGCTGTCTTTTAATAAATCTGAAATGCTAAGTGCTAGGATAAAATCCAATTATACTCACTGGGGAGAGATCATCTAAGAGTTATGGACATAGTTTAAAGTGAAACACTCAATTTAAATGAAGACAATCCCAAAGGCAGTCTTAAAGGGGGAGAAAGAAATATTCCTGTCTGAAATTTTGAACAGCTATTTCTGGTCTAGTACGGGAACTAGATGTTCCAGTGATTCAATTCAATATAATTGCATTAATGTATTATACTGGTATTAAGGGCTTGATAGTGAAATATTGCTTTGGGACATACACTTTTTATTTAATTTGTATACTGCCTTTATTATTTTTACAAGGGATGAACATAACCAACATACTTTCCTCCTCTTATTTTCTCGATAACAATTCTGTGAGGTGAGCTGGGCTGAGTGAATGGCCCAAGGTCATTAGATTGGCTTTCATAGCTAAGACAGGACTTGAACTCATGCCAGTGGTGGGTTGCAGGAGGTGCGCCCCAGTACGGGCGTACCAGAGCCTACCAGGAGCACCGGGTACCGTTCCGGTACGGTGCTCTGCAGGGCCCACCCGCCCGCCCGAGCTCCTTACCTGTCCTTTAAAGCCTTCGGCGTTTCTGCGCACGCACATGGTGCATACAGCACCTGCGCGGCGCTGCAAGCAACTGGAAGCGTCGCGGAGGCATCGCTGCCAGGTATGACGCATGCTGCACGCGTTCATGTGGTCAACACCAGGCCCCTTCCAACCGGTACGGTTGGAACGGGATCCAGAACCCACCACTGACTCACGGTCTCCTGTTTCGTAGCCTCACGCTATTAGTTCACTCTTTAGCTATGAGACAAAGAACAAACAGTCTGGAACAACCCTCAGAAGTAAATATTTCTATGACCAAAGCACCAGTATAGATCTCCAAATATAGTTAAATATTTGAAGAAGAGTGTCTTTCCTATCTCTTGAAATATGTAGCGGAATTATTGAATTTACCTGTACAACGACATAGCCAATGAGCTTCAGATGCCTTTGCTTAATGGATTCTTTCCCAAGAAGATTGTGACTATTAGCACAAAATCTCTTTTCATCATCAATGCAGAGAGCTATTCTGTAAAATCAAAATATTGTCACTGCTTCAAATTCAAGATGTCAGTGCAGGCTTTCCTAACTACTTATATCTAAGAATATACAAAGGTATGCAATAACCTTATGTCTACAAGTAAATGTTGAGTCCTTGTGCTTCTTTCTGCATAAATAGGTATGACAAAATTGGCCAACCCCTTTCACCCTGACGCACACTTGAGAGAAATATACAGTGAGCAAGTTCCAAGGAGAGCCATTAGGGGCATAAACAGGAGCTTAGACTGATGGACAGAAAGATTGTGAGTTTCCATTGGCCTATGGCCTAAGAGCCGAGGTGGCACAGTGGTTAGGGTGCAGTATTGCAGACCACTTCAGCTGACTGTTATCTGCAGTTCAGTGGTTCTAATCTCACCGGCTCAAGGTTGAC